TTTGGAACAATGTTTGGAACAACTAGAACAATCTATTGCGATATCAGAATGTTCGATTTTCGAAAAGTGAGGTGCCAGCTCAAAAAATCATTTTTTTTGTTTTACTCGGAAACCGTTTCGAATGAAGCAATATCACTTTGGAACAATATGGTACAAAGTCAGAACAATCTGGAACAACTTTCAAAATTATAAATTTCAAAAAGTGGGGTGCCAACTTCATACACTCCGATAATCCACTTTTCGAATCTGTCCTGAAAAGGGTACAAGTACAGCTTCCCTTTCCTCGCCGAGTCCTGCGGAGTCCGAGTGGACTCCAACATGGTCACGCCTCTCTGGAAGCATCTGGTGTCCATCGAGAGTCCTACCCTGGCATTAGTGGGGATCCCGTTCTACATCTGCGCTTTTAGTATGTTCGATTTGCAGGTACGACATCTCATTACTGTATCGTTCGTTCCCGAAGATTCAACTGTCATAACAGATTCCCCATTAAAATCGAGCGCATCCTCCGCGAGACAATTCTATTGTTCAAAACGAAGGCACGCGGCCGGAATGCGCGGCGGCAAAGGAAAGAAAAGAAAGAAGGGAAAAACGCTAGAAAGTCACCTCATGTGCGCGCGCGGCGCCGGCCGGCTGACTGACTGTGACTATACTTCTTTCTTGCCGCTCTAGTCACGGTGGAGTCCGGCGCGTTACTTGCAAATTTCTTCAAGGTGCGATTCATCCTACGACACTGGCACGGCGAGAGGCAGTTTCCCGCGAGAGCGGATATGCTGCGCGACGAGGCCGCGGAGGCGGCGAGACGCGCGGAGAGAGGCCTGAAGAAGAAGCACTTTCATATGATGGGCCCGGAGCAAGAGCACTACTTCGACGACCTCGCGAACATAGCGGGGCTCACGCCGCTGCCGCCCGTGCTGACGAAACTGCACAACGCGAGCAGCCAGCGCTTCCTGGACGACCTGGTGCACTACCGGCAGGATCGCTACCGCATCGTCGACGACTACAACTTCGTCCAGCTTTAACGCTCGGGACTGGTCGCGCGCCGATGCATTTCCTCGCGCATAGCCGTGAGGCCCGCACTTTCTTCGCGGTTATCTGTGTCGCGAAAGGAGCATTCATGTTCCTCTTATCGAGCTCGCAAATCGAGCAAATGAAATCTCAGACAGCGCAGTGCTAAAAAATGCCTCAACCCTTAAACGACAAGGTAGGATGAACAATTGTCACGTACAGTATGTATGTTTCAATCTATTTTAACTTCGTGACATGTTTGCGTCAAGGTCAGATGTACTACGCTGAAAAGACGTTTTCATACAATAAAAAAATTTGTCCTTGTTGAATTGCTATTTATTTACTCTCATGCAACCCTGATGGAAATATTTTACTGAAAATCTCTTTGAATTGACTCCTTTTCGTCAAAATTTATTAAAATTCGTTAAGATTCTTCAAGATTAATTAAAATTCACTAAAATTCATTAAAATTCGCAAAATTTATTTTATTATAACAATAAAATTAATTTTATGAGTTTTAATAAATCTTAATGAATTTTAATGAAAAGAGATCAATTGAGAGAGATTTTCAGTAAATATTTCAATAAAATATTTCCATCAAGGGAGTTTTAATGTGCAGGAGAAAAGAATAAACATAAAAAATGTTGGGATCATTTATAACCTCGTCTTGTTGTTTACATCTCATAATGTCGTTCAAGACTTCTTACTTCTTTTAAATGTCTTCAAGGCGTCTTTTAGCTGATTTGTGCTGTCCGCGATGAGACATATCGTCGAAGTTAAACTCTCGACCAGAATATAATACATGCATAACATTGACACGCAAATAAGTCACGAGTATTTTCTCGATGGATGATTCCTCACAGAACCTTATCGAAACGATTGTGCGAACGGAAGAAACGCATCGATCAATTTCCTCCTTCTGCCTTCCAATTCCAGCGTTCTAGCTTCCACGTGAGAATGTGAGAGGAAAGAGCGTGACCAGATTACCAAGTACTCCGTGTAAATCTCACGGAACGCACGAAAACTCTGATTAATATTACTTGAAGCCTCTTCGAACAATCCTAACCTAGAATACAATAGACTTCTGTGAAGTGCACGCAGAAGCGAACAATTAGGTCTGCTTTTTTCAGCTAAATTGCCTGAAGTGTGAGTTACACACTAGTATGTAATGTATGTACAAAAAGTTCGAGTGTGACAAATATGTTTTGTTTCGCTCCAACTTATGATACACTACCAGAGTCACCAATTCAAACAGTTGAGCTAAACAGAACGGACCTATCATGTCGACAGTAGTTTTGTCATCCGACACACACACGCGACTTCAGACTGCGCGGCGCGGGCCTTTCGAATTTCCCGCCGGCACGTGACCGCGAGTCACGTGACCGGGTCGGGCGAGTGACGCAGCGCCAGCCGCGGCGGCGGCGGCAGCGGCGGCGACGACGGCGGCGTACAGTCAGTTAAATGCCTCGTCGTGCGTGCGTATGAGCGGGCGGCTGAGTGAGTGAACGAGCGAGCGGCGGTGCGGCGAGTTTCGTCGTGTGATGTAGTTCAGTGTATCAGTGCCGCGCACGAGTGTGTGGAGCGTGTGTGTACATTCCCTCTTTCTCCTCTCTTTCTCTTTCTCTCTCCTCTTTCTCTCTCTCTCTCTCTCTCTCCATCATCACGAGAGCGCTATCATCCCGAGACGACGAGAGCGTTTCCACGACCCGCGAGTGATTCACGGGGCCGACGGTTACTCCGACGGATTATTAGGCGCAGCACGACGGAACCATGACGGTAGCGCGAGTCGACGAGCGTATCATCGTGCAGGAAACGCAACGTGAGTAAGAATCCCGTTGCCACCTTTTATCCGTAATCTGTGCAGTCGAGAGAAAACGGAAGAAAAACGTTCATCCATATCTTTCTTTCTTTCTCTTTCGGCTTCTTTCGCTGATCTCTCTCTCTCGCACTCCTCACATTCCCCCTCTCCGTCTCTCTTTTCTCTCTCTCTCTCTCTCTCTCTCTCTCTGTGGCAAATACCAGCCATCACCCGAGATTTCCCTGCGATGCTTGGCCGTCCAACGTTGCACCGTCTCCACCGGGACCAGCAACGATCGAACACCTGCAACACGAGAATCGGCAGGGAAAATCGCGGGATCGCGTGCCATTGTTTCGCCGTGCATGTGCCCGGCCACGTCGATGCGGGAGAACATGAAGTAGAGAGAGAGACAGAGAGAAAGAGAGAGAGAGAGGGAGAGAGAAAGAAAGAGTGTAGGGATCCGCCACCCCCAGCGTAGCATTATTTACGTTACGTAGCGAGAATAAGCGTGGCGTCGCGCGACGCACGTACTGCGGCCGGAGAGCGGAGCCGCGCGTTCGATAGCTTCTGTCCATTTTATTCACGCTTCCCGCATCTCGCCTCTGTCGCCTACTTCTCTCTCTCTCTCTCTCTCTCTCTCTCTCTCTCTCTCTCTCTCTCTCTCT